ACATGGTGCCAGCCGCTTCCGGGAGCGGTGCAGGACCCACAGCGCCACGGGGGTGGCAATCCCGCAGTCTGGATCCAAAGCCCTGATGGGCTGGATCCAACCCATGGGCTGTAGTTTGCCCACCCCTGCTACAGAATTTATCAGAGAACTATATCCCAGCAATAGGAGGATTCAAAAACTATACATCATTTATAAGTTCTTTTGGTCTTTATTATATATATTACAGATTCTTATTAAATGTCTATAGAACATTATGGGTTTCAGCCCTTTGGTACAGGATTAGTCCATAAAGAGCAGAGTTTCCAAACCTGCATAGTCAGCTCTAAGCCATTTGCTTCAGGATATGGAATGGCGTTATGGATGAAGGATGCTACTCCCTTCCAATGCAGGGTTTGTGGATTCATACTGGGTGCTAATGCACCCATCATGCATCACTTACCCCCACCCCTGTGACACTGCAAAGAACCTCTCTGGAGATTTCCTCCAAGGCACAGAGGGTAGGACTTGCTCTCGCTGGGTCTCTGACTCAATGTTTGAAAGCATTTATCCACAATGGAACAGACACTGGGCTGGAGAGAGACTTTACAGTCCAGTAGTTAGGGCACCTACATGGGAGATGGGGGACTCTGGGTCCAGTCCCTCTTTCATTATTTATCCACAGTGGAATAGTTTCAACAGGCCAAACTGAGGGAGCTCTGCATCAGAATACCCCATAGCCCAGCTGTTAGAGCACTCCCCTGAGAGATGGGAAACACTTGTTCAAATTCTCCTTTGGGGGGGAGAGAGTGTGGGGGAAATGAACCTGAGTCTCTCACATTCCAGGCATGTGCTCTAACCACTGGACTACAAGTTAGAAGGTGGAAACTGCCTTCTCCTGCTGGATTTCAAATGAGACCCTATCCTGTATATGGCTTCTGGATACTTACCGGATCAGGCCCTGCACGCAACTTAGGTAGCCCGAATAGTTGTCTTCCCTGGTTTGTGGATTGCTCTGGGCTTTAGAGGGGAGATAAGCATCTAGATGGAGGCAGGACATGCCCGGAGGCAGAAACAATAGCATCTAGGGCATGTTTACTTTGAAAAGTTAGGCACTGAGTGGGTGTAGGAGCCTGCAGGAGTTTTCTGGATCACAGTGGAGCCAAAACAGGGACTTGGACGGCTTGGATCTGGGCCAGAGTCCGCTTGCAGGGGTTCTCTACTGCCTGGCTGACTATAGCAGCATGAATACAGCATTTCTACCACGTCCGGGCTTTATGCAGTTGCACCCTTCAGGTTTTTGTCCACTGGGAACAAACACAGTAATTTCATCTTTTAAAAAATGGAGACAAGCAAAAAGCAAAGAAGTTTCAATTAATTGGAGAGTCAAAGGGAAACTCCCTAAAAAATGAGGCCATATTGTAAGTAATCTTAGTAGGAAGAGGTTCTTGAACCTGTAATCCTGTTTGCATTTCCATTCATTCATGTTCATATTTCCTGCAAGGTCTGAGATCCTATAATCCTATATGAAAGCTCTGTTGGTTTTCAGATTAATCAGCAACAAACTATCTGAGATCCTTTCAAAACAAAAACAAACTATACAAAGTGCCATTTCTACCGTGTCACTTGTCTGATCATAACATCTAACTCGGAGTTTGCTTCAGGTAACCAACCCACCTGATCCAAATTTATGGGAATTTTTTTGGGTCAAGAAATCACACTGACAATTTTGTGTCTAGTACTGCCTGGTACAGAAATAGCATAAGAACAGCTTTGCTTGGGGTACTTTGACATTTACGCTTCACATCATGGCCAAAACTAAGGAGTGCAAAGGTTGGAAAGGAGTGAGCTAACCTTAACCAAAACTCAAAGAATAAAAATGGTTAATGGTTTGGGTGAAGATTTTTATGGAGCTTATGTTATTTTCTTTAACATGGGTCACTGAGACACTTGATATTAAAAGACAATGTTTTGAAATGGCAACAGTGTATACTAACCTGCATTTACACACTGCCTTTCATCCTGAAGGATTTCCAAATGCTACACTTTATTTATATGATAACTTACCCACCACTGATATGCTACCACCTCTTGGTATAATGCAGCATCAGTTTTGTACCAGCCACGCTACGCAGCAGTTTTCATGGGGAAGGAGACTAGCTTCTCCAATTGAAAATACAATCGGAATTTGAGATAGTGAGTATTAATTACCCAATTTGCAAGATGGCTAGGTGCCATTATTACTCTTGTTAAAAAGGTCACAGGATGTTATAGCCACAGGAAATTATGGCCTTGAGTTTATATTTCTTCTGAAAGGTGGTGAGGCAAATTCTGTTGTCAGTCCCACCAGAGTAATTCCATTGTAGTTACTCTGGATTTACACCAATGTAACTGACAATAGAATTTAGGCCTGAACCTTCTTCTTCAGAGTGCTCTGTAGAACAATGCTGGGACATTGATTAAGTACCTACTCAGAAAACAGTGGCAACAACTGTCAAAACTAGTTCCTATTTATATTCAGTTTCACATCCGAGTGACAAAGCCTTGGCTCCGCTTATCTAGAGCACAAAAAAAAGATCTCAACCCAGACTAGAATAGCTGCAGGCCATGTTTTTATAGTTACTAATTAATACCAGATTGCTATGCAATCATATGTGATAAAAATGTCTGTTTTATGAAATATTCAAAGTCGGATTTAAATTAATAGAAGACTTGAGTGCATGAGAAGGATGTTTGTTTCTCTTTATAACACATGCTACATTCTGCTCCTTTATCCCCTCTGAAATGCACATGGACCGATCCCTGTTCCTTATGCTAGTTTTCGCCTAAAACAGCAATTATAGTTTCTCCCTAGAGGCCTTTCAGTTTTTTGAGCTATACCCACTCAGTTTACAGCTTGTCAACAGTTGTATTTGGTAGATGCTCATGATATTCAAGAAGTGAATTACCTGTATGCTTTTCAGCTGGTTCTCTACAATAACAACCATCCTTACAGCTAAGAGACTGGATGGGATGCTACTGAGAGTCCATGAACACTACTTTCAACCAACTGAAGGTCACTGTTAAATAACGGAAAGCCCTTCCTCATACTAAAGGCCAAATGTGCTGCTGCTTCAGTTCTCCCAAAAAGAATTATTTTAAAAACACCATGAAACATCGGTAGGAGATCAAATTAGGGCTGTATTGATTAACTGAATTATTGACATATTTTGTGACAAATGTTATGTCAATTAGAAAATATCTAGCAGTGGAACATTCAGGAAAGAATCCAAGATGAGCAACTCAGCAGGAAATATTACTAAAAAGGACACAAAGATATCAAGCAAAAGATTGTTTTTAAAAATGAAGGGTAAAAGTGGAGGCCAATACTTTTATACATGACAGGCCAATGATCAGCCAATTAATTGCTCTATTGCATAACAGTCTAACGGAGTACTGAAAGACAAATTTTGCTGACCTTCACTATCTTTGAAAAAAAAACACATTATGAATGCCAGCAACGTTCATTGTCAGTTTATGGTTGTCTCTTCCTCTGTCCTTTTCCTCCCTGCTACCCTCTTTTAATGCCTGAAGAAATTGAAGCAAACACAAATAATGTCAATGCTAATGTTTGGAAAAGATCACACAAAAAGCTGCCTTAGTTAACAGGGTGTTTTGACTTGCAAACTCTGATGGCTAGGCTCACAGAGAATATAGAAACCAGCATCCTTGTCGTCCTTTTGGCAGTTGCTAGCTGAGGAAAAAGAGAGAGCTTGCCCTTGGCTGAGCCAGTAGGTACTGTGCTCAACCATGCCTTTCTCACTAAGAAGCTGCTCTTTACATTTTTTTGTGCATAATGTGTCATCCTTTCTCACTTCATCATGCTAGAACAGGCATTGGACGGGAGTCTGCTACATGGCAGCAGCAGCAGAAACAATCTTGCTTTACTAGTGCATGTTTATGAACTATTTTCAGAACTGTGGAGGTAGCCATATTTTTAAACAATGAGCCTTAGTTTGGAAAATCCTGAAGATCAAAACCAACTTACAAAACTAGTCCCATTAACTCGATTCACAGGTTTCCATACCATGACACCAGGTAACAAGAGAAGAAAGTTATAGGACCCCACTCCATCCTCACTAGAAAGAAAAGGTGGTTGCAACCCTTGGAATCCTGTTTATCACAGGTGGGGGTCATGCCCCTGGGATGAAAGCAATGGATAAGTAAGGCAAGCAGGCATCAGGGCCCACCATTCTCTCACAGAACCCACCAGCGGTTCTCTCATTCACTTAGGTGGGAGTAATATCAGGACATTGATCTTCAGACAGTCAGCTGTTAGGAGTAGAAGAAGGTAATGTCCCATACAAACCTTTGCTTAGGGTGGCCACCTTTAATCTCTGTCAGAGACTCCACAGGAGCAGCATCAACAAAGGAAGCAGTGAATATACATTGAAACAGCATGTTCCCAGCTCTCCTAGTTACACCTGTGGCACTCTGTGCCTCAATATAGCACCCTGGAACCCCCATATCCACCACAGCCATATAACTATGATATGTTTTGTACAAAATATGCCTTGTGATGTATCATTTTTAAGGTCTTGATCCGTTGAACATTAATATCCTGTTAGATTTTATGTGCTATCATTATATGTGAAGTTGTGAAGTTTGGCTATGTATGTGTTACTGAAATATGTTGTGAGGTTGGGAACACCCACAACCAGACTTTCAGGTACACCAGTGGACGAGCCAGATGCACTGATGGCCCATTAAAGGAATCTACACTCCCAAGGACTATCCCAGGAACTGTACACAATACACACTTCCCAGAGATAGCAAAGGAGACTGCTTGATCCAGGTCATAGCAAAGGATCTTTCCAGCAAGCTGGAAGTGGCATCATTACTTGGCCTCACTCTCCCCACAACTCAACACCTGGAAACACATCTGGAGGACAAAGACTTTGAACTGGGGAGGTGGTCTCGGGCTGGAGGAGACTTCCAGACTCTGTATTGAAGATCTGTGACCTGTTTTAATTATCACAGCCCTGGTCTACACTAGGACTTTAGGTCGAATTTAGCAGCATTAAATCGATGTAAACCTGCACCCGTCCACACAATGAAGCCCTTTATTTTGACTTAAAGGGCTCTTAAAATCGATTTCCTTACTCCACCCCTGACAAGTGGATTAGCGCTTAAATCGACGTTGCCGGCTCAAATTTGGGGTACTGTGGACACAATTCGATGGTATTGGCCTCCGGGAGCTATCCCAGAGTGCTCCATTCTGACCGCTCTGGACAGCACTCTCAACTCAGATGCACTGGCCAGGTAGACAGGAAAAGAACCGCGAACTTTTGAATCTCATTTCCTGTTTGGCCAGCGTGGCAAGCTGCAGGTGACCATGCAGAGCTCATCAGCACAGGTGACCATGATGGAGTCCCAGAATCGCAAAAGAGCTCCAGCATGGACCGAACGGGAGGTATGGGATCTGATCGCTGTTTGGGGAGAGGAATCCATGCTATCAGAACTCCGTTCCAGTTTTCGAAATGCCAAAACCTTTGTCAAAATCTCCCAGGGCATGAAGGACAGAGGCCATAACAGGGACCCGAAGCAGTGCTGCGTGAAACTGAAGGAGCTGAGGCAAGCCTACCAGAAAACCAGAGAGGCGAACAGCCGCTCTGGGTCAGAGCCCCAAACATGCCGCTTCTATGATGAGCTGCATGCCATTTTAGGGGGTTCAGCCACCACTACCCCAGCCGTGTTGTTTGACTCCTTCAATGGAGATGGAGGCAATACGGAAGCAGGTTTTGGGGACGAAGAAGATGATGATGAGGAGGAGGTTGTAGATAGCTCACAGCAAGCAAGCGGCGACACCGGTTTTCCCGACAGCCAGGAACTGTTTCTCACCCTAGACCTGGAGCCAGTACCCCCCGAACCCACCCAAGGCTGCCTCCTGGACCCAGCAGGCGGAGAAGGGACCTCTGGTGAGTGTACCTTTTAAAATACTATACATGGTTTAAAAGCAAGCATGTGAAAGGATTACTTTGCCCTGGCATTTGCGGTTCTCCTAGATGTAGTCCTAAAGCCTTTGCAAAAGGTTTCTGGGGGAGGGCAGCCTTATTGCGTCCTTCATGGTAGGACACTTTACCACTCCAGGCCAGTAACACGTACTCGGGAATCATTGTAGAACAAAGCATTGCAGTGTATGTTTGCTGGCATTCAAACAACATCCGTTCTTTATCTCTCTGTGTTATCCTCAGGAGAGTGAGATATAATTCATGGTCACCTGGTTGAAATAGAGTGCTTTTCTTCAGGGGACACTCAGAGGAGCCCATTCCTGCTGGGCTGTTTGCCTGTGGCTAAACAGAAATGTTCCCCGCTGTTAGCCACAGGGAGGAGGGAAGGTTGAGGGGGTAGTCACGTGGTGGGAGGAGGCAAAATGCGACCTTGTAACGAAAGCACATGTGCTATGTATGTAATGTTAACAGCAAGGTTTACCCTGAAAGAGTGTAGCCACTGTTTTATAAAATGTGTCTTTTTAAATACCGCTGTCCCTTTTTTTTTCCTCCACCAGCTGCATGTGTTTCAATGATCACAGGATCTTCTCCTTCCCAGAGGCTAGTGAAGCTTAGAAAGAAAAAAAAACGCACTCGCGATGAAATGTTCTCCGAGCTCATGCTGTCCTCCCACACTGACAGAGCACAGACGAATGCGTGGAGGCAAATAATGTCAGAGTGCAGGAAAGCACAAAATGACCGGGAGGAGATGTGGCGGGCTGAAGAGAGTAAGTGGCGGGCTGAAGAGAGTAAGTGGCGGGCTGAAGACAGGGCTGAAGCTCAAATGTGGCGGCAGCGTGATGAGAGGAGGCAGGATTCAATGCTGAGGCTGCTGCAGGACCAAACCAGTATGCTCCAGTGTATGGTTGAGCTGCAGCAAAGGCAGCTGGAGCACAGACTGCCACTGCAGCCCCTCTGTAACCAACCGCCCTCCTCCCCAAGTTCCATAGCCTCCACACCCAGACGCCCAAGAACGCGGTGGGGGGGCCTCCGGCCAACCAGCCACTCCACCACAGAGGATTGCCCAAAAAAAAGAAGGCTGTCATTCAATAAATTTTAAAGTTGTAAACTTTTAAAGTGCTGTGCTTAAAGTGCTGTGTGGCATTTTCCTTCCCTCCTCCACCACCCCTCCTGGGCAACCTTGGTAGTCATCCCTCTATTTGTGTGATGAATGAATAAAGAATGCATGAATGTGAAGCAACAATGACTTTATTGCCTCTGCAAGCGGTGATTGAAGGGAGGAGGGGCGGGTGGTTAGCTTACAGGGAAGTAGAGTGAACCAAGGGGCGGGGGGTTTCATCAAGGAGAAACAAACAGAACTTTCACACCGTAGCCTGGCCAGTCATGAAACTGGTTTTCAAAGCTTCTCTGATGCGTACCGCGCCCTCCTGTGCTCTTCTAACCGCCCTGGTGTCTGGCTGCACGTAACCAGCAGCCAGGCGATTTGCCTCAACCTCCCACCCCGCCATAAATGTCTCCCCCTTACTCTCACAGATATTGTGGAGCACACAGCAAGCAGTAATAAGAGTGGGAATATTGGTTTCGCTGAGGTCTAAGCGAGTCAGTAAACTGCGCCAGCGCACCTTTAAACGTCCAAATGCACATTCTACCACCATTCTGCACTTGCTCAGCCTGTAGTTGAACAGCTCCTGACTACTGTCCAGGCTGCCTGTGTACGGCTTCATGAGCCATGGCATTAAGGGGTAGGCTGGGTCCCCAAGGATACATATAGGCATTTCAACATCCCCAACAGTTATTTTCTGGTCTGGGAATAAAGTCCCTTCCTGCAGCTTTTGAAACAGACCAGAGTTCCTGAAGATGTGAGCATCATGCACCTTTCCCGGCCATCCCATGTTGATGTTGGTGAAACGTCCCTTGTGATCCACCAGAGCTTGCAGCACTATCGAAAAGTACCCCTTGCGGTTTATGTACTCAGCGGCTTGGTGCTCCGGTGCCAAGATAGGGATATGGGTTCCGTCTATAGCCCCACCACAGTTAGGGAATCCCATTGCAGCAAAGCCATCCACTATGACCTGCACATTTCCCAGGGTCACTACCCTTGATATCAGCAGATCTTTGATTGCGTGGGCTACTTGCATCACAGCAGCCCCCACAGTAGATTTGCCCACTCCAAATTGATTCCCAACTGACCGGTAGCTGTCTGGCGTTGCAAGCTTCCACAGGGTTATCACCACTCGCTTCTCAACTGTGAGGGCTGCTCTCATCTTGGTATTCATGTGCCTCAGGGCAGGGGAAAGCAAGTCACAAAGTTCCATGAAAGTGCCCTTACGCATGCGAAAGTTTCGCAGCCACTGGGAATCGTCCCAGACCTGCAACACTATGCGGTCCCACCAGTCTGTGCTTGTTTCCCGAGCCCAGAATCGGTGTTCCACAGCATGAACTTGCCCCATTAGCACCATGATGCATGCATTGGCAGGGCCCATGCTTTCAGAGAAATCTGTGTTCATGTCCTGATCACTCATGTGACCGCGCTGACGTCGCCTCCTCGCCCGGTATCGCTTTGCCAGGTTCTGGTGCTGCATATACTGCTGGATAATGCGTGTGGTGTTTAATGTGCTCCTAATTGCCAAAGTGAGCTGAGCGGCCTCCATGCTTGCCTTGGTATGGCGTCCGCACAGAAAAAAGGCGCGGAACAATTGTCTGCCGTTGCTCTGACGGAGGGAGGGGCGACTGACGACACGGCTTACAGGGTTGGCTTCAGGGAGCTAAAATCAACAAAGGGGGTGCCTGTACATCAAGGAGTATTTCAGGCAGGACTTCACGGAGGGTTCCAATAAGAAATGGTGCACCTAAGTTATTGTTCTTATTGGAACAAGGAGGTTAGCCTGGCCTCTGACTGATACATGCCTAGATTTACCTCGCTGCACCTTCTCTGTGAGTGACTGCAGTGTGACCTAGAGGAATGAGTCCCCTAGACAGGGGAGGAGGCAAATGAGTACAAAACAAATCTGGTCTATTTCTTGTTTTGATCCACTCCATCTATCTTTTACATCTTTGGCTGGCAGCAGACGGTGCAGAAGGACTGCATGCCATCCACATCTCATGGCTGCTCGGCAGAAGATGGTACAGTACGACTGCTAGCAGTCCGTATCGCCTGCCCGCTCACCATAAGACGGTTCAATAGGACTGACTGCAGGCAGGACTAAAGAGAACGACCTGGTGAAGTCACTCCAAATTTAGTCCCTGCAACCATGTCTGCCCAGGCGCTCCCAGCCGACGTGGCCAGGAGCACCTCGGACAGGACGATGACGGCTACCAGTCGTACTGTACCGTCTGCTGCCACAAGGCAAGGGGTTGCTGCTACTGTGTAGCAATGCCGTACCGCGTCTGCCAGCACCCAGGAGACATAGGGTGACGGTTACCTGAGCGGGCTCCATGCTTGCAGTGGTATGGCGTCTGCACAGGTAACTCAGGAAAAAAGGCGTGAAACGATTGTCTGCCCTTGCTTTCACGGAGGGAGGGAGGGAACGGGGGCCTGATGATATGTACCCAGAACCACCCGCGACAATGTTTTAGCCCCATCAGGCATTGGGATCTCAACCCAGAATTCCAATGGGCAGCGGAGACTGCGGGAACTGTGGGATAGCTACCCACAGTGCAACGCTCCGGAAGTCGACTCTAGCCTCGGTACTGTGGAAGCGCTCCGCCGAGTTAATGCACTTAATGCACTTTAGAGCATTTTCTGTGGGGACACACACACTCGAATATGTAAAACCGATTTCTAAAAAAACGACTTCTATAAATTCGACCTTATTCCGTAGTGTAGACATACCCATGGTAAGACACGGCTTAATTCAAATCCTTGATCAATAATTTAGTTATAGAACTTAGACTGCAAATTTATTTTATTTCTTAGGTAACCAACGTTGATCTCTACGCTCACTGCTTATAATCACTTAAAACCAATCTTTCTGTAGTTAATAAATCTGTTGTATATTTTACCTAAAACAGTGTGTTTTGGTTGAAGTGCTTGGGTAATCTGCTCAGGTTACAAAGGCTGGTGAACTTTCCTTTGTAGAGGTGTTGAACTTAATGAACTTACTCTCGTCAGGCTTCTGACTAGTGCAAGATGGTACAGCTCTGGGGTGCAAGGCTGAGGAGCTGGGGGGAACTGGCTGGAGCCTCTCTATTGTTAGTTCATGAGTGGCTGGGAGAAGCATTCATGTAACTCAGTTGCCTGTGTCCCTACCTGTGGATGTCTGTGTAAGTACAATTCCTGACAGAGGTTTGTGGCTTACCAACAGCATCACAGTGTGAGAGGGAGCCCAGGTTGGTGGGACAGAAGACTCAGCGGTCCCAGAGTTCAGGTTGCACCCTGGGAAAACCCATCACAACACCCCGTCCTCAATCAACACAGCCCACTTGTGGGGCAGTGCTGTGCATCTGCAAATGGGTACATTAAGGGTACCTTGTACTGTTGAACCTGTTTTCCTGAGCAGACTTTCTGCTGCTGGGGCCCTTCGCTAGTATCTACACTGGCATCAGCTCTAGGCTGCATTTGGCTCATTGTCTAAGGGATGCTGGAATAATTTTCCTTTCCATAAATGCAGGCACATTTCTAGAGAGTTAATAAACCTCATATTTAGGAACCCTGCAACCTCCCAAAATGACATTCAGTAATACAAAGTTAATCACTGAAAACATTCATAGTCAAAGGAAGAGTTTATTCTGCAAATAATTTGCAGCATTGCTCAGCAGCCGATAGTCATTAAGTACCGATCATTTCATTTAGGGCCATTCTGCCATTGTTCTGTGCACAGAATTCCCATTTAAATCAATGAACTTTCTCATAGATCAATGGCATTATATAGCCTTCAGAGCTTGACCCTGCACCAACTGAAGTTAATGGAAAAACTCCTCATGACTTCAGTGGTGCAGAAGCAGGCCCTAGGTCAGCAATATAATCTGTTTGTGTGGGGCATTTATTGCCATCTTCTCTTGTTAAAAATTCGAATGATTTTTCAATACAAAAAGGCATGTACAAAGACTAAGGATTCTAAACGGCCGGAGGCAATAGAAAAAACAAACTTACAGAGCAAACTAACTTTTAAAAAGAGTCTAATTTATCATTTTTAAATCAAGAGATTTACACAATAGGCTGTAATCAGCTCATTGGAAGACAAGACTTCAACCATTGAAGAAAAAAATATAGAAACATATTTCAGTGTGTTAGACCAAATACCCAGTCATGGACACTAAGAAAAAACCTGGACTCATCCCATAACTAGCATATCGATACAAAAAACATTTAAAATATGATCAATTCTAAATCAAGCTGTGACTTGTTCAGAAATGAGGAAGACATGAATATTTAGTAGCTTCAGAATCATTTATCTGATCAAATGTTTGTGGCACAACTGACATTTGAGAGGGTAGCTTAGAAGACAAAGAGCTTCATCATCATTTTAAAAGCTATAGATTTTTTAGAATTGTAAATAAGCGTGTGGCAAATTGAGTATCTGTTTTCATAACGTCTCTTTTCAAAGATTTAAATGGCATGATGTCCTTGATATAAATTGAATGTTTTTTGCAATCACCAAGAAAATGAATGCAAATTAGAAGAGTCCTACAGATTTTACTCTTGATACTTCCCTGTCTCAAAAGACTAAAAAGACACACAACTGAAAAATCCCTTTGTATGGATAATTCAGGGTCAAACGTTTCCACCTAACAATTGGAATAATTTTGGCAATAAATAAAGAGGATTATCTCCCCCAGCAACCTCTTTTAAGCCTATTACACAGAAGTTGGAGGCACTTGACTTATTTTCCAGAGTCTCCAAACAGCATTGCAATATGGCTTTACCTTGTAATGTTTTTCAATAATATTCAGTGCTATTTAAATCCAGCTTATGTTGATCTTGACCGATAATTATCTTTTTTGATTCTTTTCCTTCTGTTCTACTGAAATGTCCAGCTTTGATGTTTAGCAGAAATAGTATTCACCTTTTTAAGGATAGCTAACCTAAAACATTTTTGTGAAGAGCCGATATAAAGTATTGAAAATGTTCTCTCCTGCTAACATAGAGAGATCAAACTTACAGATGCACTAGATCT